ATTATGTTGAGAAATTTCCCTTCTATACCTATTTGATTGAGAGCTTTTAGCAGGAATGGGTGTTGGACTTTGTCAAATGCCTTTTCTGCGTCAACTGAGATGATCATGTGATTTTTTTCTTTCCTTTTATTTATGTTCCATCAATTCTTGAAGCCTTGTTTTTCACCATTGCCTTCAGCACAGCTTGTACTTCTTCCTTCAGTACCAGCGGTTCTCGATCATTTGCTACCTCCTGAAATGGCTGAACATCAACCCCATCAATAGGAACATGGATAAACTGTGTAGATCTATTCAACGGAATACTATACACAGTAAAATGAGAATTATGCATAAACATGGATGAACCTTAGAAACAATGTTGAGTGAAAAAAAGCAAGTCTCAGAAGACACCATGCAATATTTAAAATCTTTACCAAGTGGGATGGTACAAATTAAGATATAAACCAATGTGCAAAACAAGCAAAATAATACTTTATTCTTTTAATAAACTACATAATAAAGCTGATAAACCAAGTGATAAAAGTTATAGCGTGAATCTTTTATCAATCACCAATAATTTCAAATCATTCGTTTAAACAAATAGTTGGTTTGGTGTAATCTTTTGTTTGACATGGCTCTCACCAGCTACTTGATGCCTCCGTCACAAATTCTTCCAGTGACTTTTCCCATAAAGTTGACAGTCATTTGCTTACTAATGTCCTGCCTGACACCTGAAGAGAGGAGCCATGCAGCTGATTCCCATCTTGCCTCTTCTTCCCCTCATCAGAAAGCAGAGTACCATCTGGGTGCTGGCTGTATGCCAAGAGCCAGAAGCAGGTGCTCCCAGTTAGAGGAAAGAGAATGAAGAAACAGATGAAGAGGGAGTGAGATGGGTGGAGACTACTGATTAGTTGCCAGAACTGGGACCTTGTATTTTTTGTCTGTCTCACTTCATACTCAAGACTGTGTTCCCCACATTAAGCCAGTAACCACCATCACTGATCAGTAACATAGTGATTGGTTGGATGTCAGTTATGATGCAGGACAAAGGCAGAAAGGGAAAGAAGGGAGAATAAAAAGAAACGGGGCAAGTGTGCCAGGGCTCTTGCTGGCCCTGAGACAGAGTGGCTTGGACTCTACACAGGGAAGTGCAGGGAATGGTAGGCTCATGGAGGTGGAGAGGGCAGGCTAATGTGATTCTCCCATGTGGAGACCAGCCAAGGGAGGAGGGGAGAGAACACAGCGGTTGTGCTGTCACATGCTAGAGAGCACACTGTTGTAAGTATTAAACAGAGTCCCAGTTGAGTCATCCTCACACCTCCTCAAAATGCACAAGGCAGGCCACTCCCCAGAAGAGAGTAAGTTGTCAAATAAAAGGAAAACTTTAAAAAACCATCTAAGGAGCCACTACTGCATCATGAGGGGCTATGCCCCAAACACCTCTGTCTGCCCACATGCTCCCTGTCAAGCTCCTCAACCTTCCAATCTCCCCAGCTTAGGCCTCTCTTCTCTCCTTGAACAAGTTGAGGCATTTCTTTGGGGGATGAACAGAGATCTTCCTCAGCTTGGTTCCTGGCTGCTCTCTCATCGAAATGCTCATGACACCAGAGAAGACTCCCCAGTACCTGAAATAAGTAATAGTACATCTACAATAAGCCTTTTAGCTTTGTTTCCATTGTCCAAACCAGAAATTGGTATCACAAAGTATCATGTGTGGTTTCTGAGATAAACCATATGTACTGGAACTTATATACTTAATTAGTTTTACTACTTTTTAGAATTACTATTTACCAACTGGAGTCCTGGTGGTGCAATGGTTAAGGGCTCAGCTGCTAACCAAAAGGCTGGCAGTTTGAATCCACTAGCCATTCCCTGGAAACTCTATGGGGCAGTTCATATTTTGTCTTATAGGGTCTATATGTGTCGGAATCGACTTGACAGCAAGGGGTTTGGTTTTGGTTTTATTTACCAACCAGTATGGAAATCTTTCAATATTTAACATCCAATATGGCAATATCAGATTCTCTGGAGGGCGCGAACGATTAAGCACTTGACTACTAGCCAAAAGGTTAGTAGTTTAAACCCACCCAGAGGCACCTCAATAGACAGGCCTGGTGATCTGCTTCTGAAAGGTCACAGCCTTGAAAACTCTACGGAGCAGTTCTACTCTGCACATATGGAGCTGTCATGAGTTGGAATCGACTGGACAGCCACTAACAACATGGCAATATCAGCGTGTACTGGCTGAATATCAGCTCTGCACCAACTTTCCAGAGCTCAAGGTTGCTAGTTAAAGATTCTTTCACAATCCAGCAATCCCACTCCTAGGAATATATCCTAGAGAAATAAGAGCCGTCACACGAATAGACATATGCACACCCATGTTCACTGCAGCATTGTTCACAATAGCAAAATGATGGAAACAACCTAGACGCCCATCAACAGATGAATGGATAAACAAACTATGGTACATACACACAATGGAGTATTATGCAATGATAAAAGAACAAGGATGAATCTGTGAAGCATCTCACAACATGGATGAAACTGGAGGACATTATGCTGAGTAAAATAAGTCAATCACATAGGACAAATATTTTACGAGACCACCACTGTAAAAACTCATGAAAAATTTACACACAAAACGAAACAATCTTTGTTGGTTACGAGGGATGGGAGAGGTGGGGGGAATATTAAATAGCCAACAGATAAGTGGTAACTTTGGTGAAGGGTAAGACAGTACACGATACTGGGGAAGCCAGCACAACTTGAACAAGGAAAGGTCATGGCAGCTCCACAGACACATCCAAACTGCCTGAGGGACTGAATTGCTGGGCGGAGGGCTGTGGAGACCATGGTCTCAGGGAACATCAAGCTCAATTGGCATAACACAGTTTATAAAGGAAATGTTCTACATTCTGCCTTGGTGAGTAGCTTCTGAGGTCTTAAAAGCCTGTGAGCAGCCATCTAAGATACTGCACTGGTCTCACCCTTTTGCAAGCAAGGGAGAATGAAGAAAACAAGATACAAGCAAAAGACTACTCCAAATGACTAATGGACCACAACTACCACAGCCTCCACCAGACTAAGTCCAGTATAACTAGATGGTGCCCGGCTACCACCACTGACTGCTCTGACCGAGATCACAACAGAGGGTCCCCGACAGAGCCGGAGAAAAATGTCGAACAAAATTGTAACTCACAAAAAAAGACCAGACTTCCTGGTCTGACAGAGACTGGAGAAACCCCAACAGTATGGCCGCCGGACACCCATTTGGCTCAGTAATGAAGTCACTCCTAAGGTTCACTGTTCAGCCAAAGATCAGACAGCCCCATAAGACAAAACGAGACTAATAGGGCACAATAGTCCAGGGACAAGGACTAGAAGGCAGGAGCGGACAGGAAAGCTGGTAATAGGGAACCCAAGCTTGAGAAGGGACAGTGTTGACACGTGGGGCTGTTAACCACTGTCATAAAATAATATGTGTAGTAACTGTTTAATGAAAAACTACTTGTTCTGTAAACCTTCATCTAAAGTACAATTTAAAAAAAAAGAAAAAAGCTAATCAGAGTTAGGAAAATCTACTCATGTGGTAGAACTACAAAGAAAATAATAAATATAAAAATAAGGATAATGCTTACCCTTGGAGGAGAGGGAAATGGTAATTTTCTATTTCTCAAATTGAATAAATTTATGTTTATTATAGTTCATAACATACATATATTTGTTATACTTACTGAATATTACATAAAACAAAACCAGTTCTTCTCATATAACAAGGTCTTAGTCAACTATGTAATTAGTTTTTAACCTAAAGGTAGACTATATAATTTATCCTTTTTGAATTTCATCTTCTTTTAAGCCTAGCATCCAGAGCACTGAGAAAATTTTATAATATCAACTACAACTGACTAGCACGCATTCTAGCTTTTCACCTAAGTTAAATCACTATTTAATAGAAAAAGGCTGAGGTCAGAGCCCTGGAGTTTTCCACAAGAAAATCCCCTCTGGGTTGACATTCTGGGTTTACCAAATCAGAGCTTGTTGCAAGCCCCCATTCTCCACAACAAAGCTGTCACCATTTTACTCAAAAAATAGGAAATTTTGTCATATACTGAAATTGTGCTGAAATCAAGACATTAATTATGTCTACAGAGTTCCCAATTTCTATCTAAAAAAAGGAATGAGGCTGATTTTCCATGAGTTATTCTTAGGAACCCAGAGGTGCCCCCATTACACTTTCCCCTAAATGTTGACAAAATTATCTAGTACTTTTAAAATTCCCCAGAATTTACTCTTCAAAGTGTTTGCCCATCCCCCAATCTTTGGCACCTCTTATATTTTCTAGGAGTCCCTGGGTGGTGCAAACAGTAAGCATTCAGCTACTAACCGGAAGGTTGGAGGTTCGAGTCCACTCAGAGGCTTTTCAGACGAAAAGGCCTGGTGATCTACTTCCAAAAGATCACAGTCATTATATAGCACAGTTCTACTCTGGCACACATGGGGTCGCCATGAGTCAGAATCAACTGGATGACAACCGGTATAGGTCTTGTTTGTTTGAAATGTATTTTCTAGTTTCTTAAGATTACTGCAAGTGACTCTTAAGGAGTATTTTTGATCCCAGGTGTATGAACTCATTGAAACCTGTCTGGTGTTTCTTTAGTATTTTTTCACTTAAACTAACACCTTCACATAGAAAATCTATCAACAAGTAGTCTGGAAATCCTTTTCCTTTTGTTAGTACTGTTACAAGTAAGTTATCTTTCCCTAGCAAGTAGATATTTGACTTCCTTATCTTAGTTCAGACAGTAAAAGCCCTCTTCATTGTTCTGAGCTTTTTTTTATTTAAGCAACCCTCTGTTTGTCTGAGGTTGCAGCATTAGATATTCTTTTCCTGCTATTTTCATCGTTTTGAGTGTCCCTACTTCCAAGTGTGGCACGGATCTCAATAACTGCAGCCCTTCATTGTTCAGGGTTACCCTGAGTTTCATTTCCTTTTTGGGTTTCAAAAGTTTCTAGTCATTTTCACATTTGCCTTTTTTAAAAAGTAGAATCTTCTGAAATCAGACCTCCTAAAATGACAGATGTGACACTAATTATCGAAAACATTCTCCTTCTATGCTTAGAAATGCCAGGAAGACACAGGCGTTCTCTCCTGACTAATCAGGAACTCAAGCAGAAGCATAGGAAATGCTGGCCAGTGTGCGTTGACTGATCAGGGTATGTGGTAGAAGGACAGCTCATAGGATGAAGAGCATAAGATGATGTAAAAGAACAGTCTATGTACCACAGCCACTGTGGAACAAAGCCAACAAATTCAAATTATTACATCTAATTTAAATTCATTCTAAGGAAACTGCTAACATTTTTTTTTTTTCTTTAAGAAAGCTTGAGAGAAACTAAAACCAGAACAACATTTCTCAAACTGCTTTGCCCAACACAGATGCTCCCGCTTCTGGAACTTGTCACCTAACTTTGTGCTATCTGAAACTTAGCATATTCAAGGACAAAATCATTACATCTCTGTAGTTCATACGGTAACAAGAGATAACACGCTATATACCTTAACTGACCATTGAAAAGATTGTTTTATTCCATTAAAATATTTTCAACCAAGAACACTATCTTAAACAAAGCATTTACCATTAAGAAATCAACATGTGCACAAAGAGAGTAAAAATTACGGAAAAATTAAAAGATTTCTCTTAGACAATTCACATGTTCAAAATTTAAGAATGATTTAAACTGTGCAAGTACAAATGTCTCTCCTAGCGTAATAACCCATATACAGGTTGCACAACTCCACGTGAAGGAACTTGCCTCCTACGGGAAGCAAATCCTGCTTTTACAAAAACAGTAGCTTGAAAAGAACAGTTAGTCCTTACAAGAAAGCCTTAAACTTTGCCCTCTGTGGCTATTAGCCAAAAAAATACAAGCACTTCAGGCTTTGTACAGAAGACAAACACAGCCAGATCACATTTCCTCCTCATTACTAACCTTTAAAACAAAAACAGCACTAGATTTTAAAACTACTTCCCGTAGTCTGTCAGTACTGAATAATGTCACATTATATAAATAACCCTGTAATGAGATTCAAAATCTAAACTTTATAGTTTACTAGCCTGAAAGGTAACACACTCTATGTCAGCTGTGTGCAGTGGCATACTTGATCTCATGAAGGCATTAACTTTCACACAATTGTCATTCGGCTTTAGTATAACATTTCAAATAACACTGGGGAAAATTATTAAAGCAGTCACACAGCTTCTAAAATATTGCTTAAAATCCAATAATACACAGACCATTTCACGTTCTCCTTTTGTCCTCAAAACAGTGAAGAACAAAATTAATGAAGCTTCAGTGGTACAAATACCTCCCCCCCCGCCCCTCCCCCATCTCTCTATTACAACATCACTAAGAAATCAGTTAGCATACAAGCCATCAACAGAACGACAAATGGGAGGCAGGACAACATGAGCAACAGGGGCACTAACAACAATTATATTTACAAATATAAACATACAGAAATTTCCATTTTACAATTAAAAGTGCACATAGATCATTACAAAGTTTCACTAAATTTTATCTGGTTCAAACAGAAGCATCACTTGGAAACAGACCATCATTTTCAATAATCGAGTGAGGACTTCATAATCCCAAATTAAACGACAATGGGGAGGGTCCATAAAACTTCTCTTAAAAACACTGAGTAAAGTAAAATGGACTTCGGACATGTCTTGAGTTTGAGGCATAAATTTGAAAACGCACCATCATACGTGGCAGAGCTCTCGAAGCCACCTACCGAGGCTACATCAGCAGCTGCAACAGAGCTGCGGAGTTAAAGGAGGTCGCACTGAGCTGACACATAAAGCCCTTTGTGGGATACTGTAGTGGTAGCGTTGACAATCAACAGATTTAGGCACTCTAGTTTAAGGCAGCATTTGAATGGAAGCAGCTGACTTTTGAAAACAGTCCTTTGTCTTGAGGTGGTATCTTCTGTGTCTATGATGCCAGGATTTCAGTGCTGACTATAGATTCTTCCCAGACTGAGGTGCTGAAGATGTATCATGTTTCAAAGAGTTCTTTCAACTGGGTTGTAGGCTAGAGCAGAGATGTTTTCTTTTTCTTATCATAAATACTTCAGGTTCACAGACTACTTCTTCTTAATGTCAAAACGGGAATGTTTGGCAGTGGGGAAGTTATATAGCAGCATACACAAATACCAGGATGGAAACATTAGTGCTGAAGATGTTCTGACAAAGTGATTCGCACTACAAACGTAAAACAAAACAAAGACACTGACAAGAACAAGGGATTCTAAAGACATGCCTGAAAAATCTAGCCCGATCACTCTAGACATGCAACATGATGTTAAGCAAGCACGGAGGTGGCACAGGCAGACACTGACAAATGGCAGGATTCTAACAGACAACAGACCTAAAAGCCAATTAAAACAGAGCCGGGATGGAGACAGTCCTGTTGGGACAGCCAAATGTAAGACAAAGTTAATGACAGCTCTGCATTCTTTCTGATTTGAACATCAGTAAAATACGTGGAAAAAAAGGTAAGCCACTGTTGGGGTTTTTTTTTTTTTTTCTTTTCTTTAGTGTGAATAATTGTGAACTAGGAATTTAAGGATTGGTATTACAATGATTTTTTTTTTTTAAAACAATGTATGGAAATGCTAATGAAGTTAGTAAAAAATAATCATGTCTGCATGCACTCATGCAACTTGCTCCTCTCACTCTCTTTGAGCCTGAAAATTCTAACACCCTCCCCCCAAAAGCAGCTGCATGTAACCTCCTTCAACATCTTGCCCATTTCCTCAGAAACCCTCTTCAGGAACCTGCAGTCCAGGAGGAAAAAGAAAAGAACAATTACTGAAGACCTTTGGCAGGACCAAAAGGGGTGTCCAGTTAAATGTGTCTGTCCCAAACGTCTCTACAATCATTTTATAGTCAGCTACTGAACACCAAAAGAATTTAGAACATGAGCAAAATCAAGGAATAGCTTAATTGCTTCCTCACTTTATTTCCCCACACAACTAACTTAGGACATGACCACAAAAATAGCACTGTACAATCCTTGTGGGAAAATGGTGGAATTCAATGTACTGTTGTTTACAACAAATGCTCTTTGAAAAATTAACTGGAAAAAAAAATCTATCCTAATAACAGCTGTTTTGGCTAAAACAAGGAAATGCCCTAAATGGTAATACAGATATCTCCCCCCAACTCAGTCAAAAAAGTTGTTTTTCTTTTAAAAGTATTTTTCGGTACTTCCCCTCCACTCATGATCTCCTCTTAGTTCATTTAGAATCTATTTTCCTATATATAACTGCTAAATGCTAAATAATCACTAAAGTGATATTTCCCAAAAGACATTTTCAAGATGACAAATACAAACATAAGATTTATTTAGAAGGAAGCCTGTACATTATTGAAAATTACTAGACCAGGCTGATTTATTTGCAGGTCTCCTGATTAACCTACTACTTAGATTATGTGCTAGGTGCTTGTTTTCTTCCTTCAGGAAACCAAAGTTAAAAATAGAAAGGAAAACGAAAATTATTCTTAAAATAAATTATTTAACTCAAATAATCAACTATTAATTTTCTTCCTGGAAACTACAGCTACAAATTCAAACTTCTAGAACAAACTACTCTTTTGGGAATCAGTTTCTATAGCATTTCAGAGCAGTTTTACTTATTTGAATTCACTATAGTCACTGTGTTTTCTGAAAGGGAGGGAAAGCTTTGAAAGCTTTTTATCTATGGATTCCTATCCAATAGAGCAAATTCTATGATTTAGAAGCCAGAAAAACACAAATCCTTCACATAGACTTAAGCAGGACATAAAGCAAAAGGCATCAATTAAGCTTCACATCAACATCACTCAAATGGTAAAATGTCACAAGAATATTTTTTGTGGTAATATTCACATCTCTAAGATCAAGCCTCCACTCAGCTCACATAGTGAACAATAACTCTTGGATGCCCTTTAAGTTTTCTTTTTTTTAACCTGTTGAATGTACTTTCATTTTATGTTATCTTTCTTACGTCATGCGTAGCACAGAGCTGCCCAGTTAGTTTAGATATAAGTTACTGCACCTTTACTGTTTTTCTCTAGAGTTACATCTATGTATGATGTGGGGACATAGCCTTCTTCACCGTTCTGTCTCCGAGCTCTTGTCCATCCATCTCCTTTGTCCTCCTCAATAATGTACAGAACTTCACCTTCTTTCATTGCCAGAGTACCTTCATTGTGTCCTAGATAAGAGTTTTGATAACTGAAGCATAATTTAGGCAGCGATAATTTTGAATAAAAGTTAGAAAAACAACATAAAATACTATCAAATTTAAATATACCTGGAATCATGAGCCCAGTGACTCTCATCAGTAACAACACCTCTAGGATGCTTTGTAGTCTACTCAACACTTCATCGACATTCCATCTTATCTGAGCTGCCCAATAAACCTTTAAGGCTGGCATTAACATCACCCTCATTAACAGATGAAGTAACTGAGCCACAGTGACACTGTATGATTTGACTGGGTATTCTAACTCCTATTTCACTATTCCAATTCTTTTCCCAAATTTGAGTGGCACTGCTATCTAAAAAATCATGAAGTATGGATGAGGAGAATAGTAACAAGACTGTGAGAGGGTGGGAAGAAAGAAGGAAGAATACTGTCTGAGACGAGAGCAGAAAAAAAAATACAAGTTCAACTCTGGTAATGACAGAAGCAGAATGGTCACAGTCACAAAACACAAAGTTCGTTCAAATCTTCATCAGCCTCACAGCCTTTTTCTCATCCCCAACCACTCCCAATCTGCTTAGCAGTAATAATTTTCATAACTGAATCTTCATTTAACATATGCTAAATTCCTTCCCTACTCTCTAGATCACATTATAGCAAGATCTTATTCAATGTTTTTTCAGACTGAGGAGTAACTAAAGACTTTATTCAATTTAAAATCCAATACAATGGATAGGTGGGGAAGGACCTTAAGTTATACACAGTTTTACAACTTATTTGTTGAGGTGTTCTGCTGCTACTGTGAGTTAAGGGAAAGGACTTTTCACAGCCCAAAAGAGGGAAGGGTAACTGAAAATCTGCACTACAGAGCCACAACGCCTTACTTCTCTCACAGGGTTTGTTCTCCAACTGTCACAGAGGAAAGGATGGCAGAGCCAGAAGCTATCACATCTGTCCCTCCCTCACCTGCAAGGTGGCATACAGTCAGGATAAGGTGGTGGCATTCAGCTATGCCATCTACCTTGTACTTGTCTCAATGTCAGTAAGCTGCAAGGAAGGGCATGAAGTGACAGCTACTAGCCTTCCACTTACTGAGTTGGACTTCATGTTCAAGCTGCTTCATCTTCATTGAGTACATGCAGCCATTAGTAAAATCTCTTGGGGAAATTCTGTATCAACCAAAGTTGATAATTAAATAACAGTTTGTATTACGATGCTAATAATATAGGTAATTTTCTTTCAACCTCATGTATGGAAAAAAAAGAAAAATCCCCTATAAATGTAACAGAGTTGAAACAAAAGTATTCATACTAATGAACTGGGATTATAATTTTCTGACAACGTATTATTTAGCCAAAGACACTAAAGGGAGTGAGTCGTACATTTAGACTTTAAGAAACCAATTTTATAGAATACAATATATTAAGAAAATCATACCATCAAAAGGGTAGATAGCTTTACAGTGTCCAATAGCAGGCAAAGGATCGTCATCTTCAAATTCATCATCAAACTCATTGTGGTGACCATGCTGTTGGGGTGGCCCACGAACTTCCTGGTTTGCATCATCTGTGTAACTTCCCTCAGGACTATAAAACATAAAAGTATCTCTGATCAAGTATCACCCACATGGAAACTCTTTACATTATCTACAAGTTGATCTCCTCAGGATTAATCAGGGAATCAAATATCAATGACACAATTCCAAATTAAGCCCTTATTTTCTTAAATCTTGATTATATAAATTGTTTCTAATACAAAATGCTTCTTTGCTGAATGTAGTAAAATAAAAAAAATCAAAAGATTACAATGTTCTAGACACATACCATATACTCAGTAAATATGTCTCACTATCACTAGGACCAGAGATAAAACAAAAAAAAAAAAATGCAGTAGACACTTGTCTCTCATTATCCAGGATTCATCTCCCCTTCTTCTGGCAAGAGAACCCTGAAATTCCTTAGAGAAACATCCAGATCCACGTTCAGTTTATCGACTTCAGATGGAGTTGTTTCTATCCTGGCTCCAGAGGGGCCATGAGAGCATAGCACTTGTATGGCTGAAGTGAATAGTTCACAAGTAAGCCTGTAACCCAACCAGACAGAAACACGCACAGAGACTTCTGCTTGGGGCTGCTGGAAGAGAAGCTCACTCCCTTTTCTACTGGACTTGAACCTGGAGGAATGTAAGCCTACAGCTTTGGAAGATCACCATATGGTACCTTACAATGAAGCCACCACAGTGGAAGGCAGAGTTCTGAGATTAAGAGAAACTGAGTCCTGAGGATATCATCTGAGCTCCTAGATCAAGCTCTCCTTGAAATCAGCCAATAAAGCTCCCTTTTAGTAGAAGCCAGCATGGGTATTCATTCTGTCACTAAAAACCATGAATCCTAACTAATGTAGAAACTACAGTTAATTTCCAGTTAATCATGTTAACAGGGGAATTAATAATTCAAAAAAATGCAGGTAATCTGAAGGCATCTTATTTGTGTTTAAATTTTTTTAAATCAAAGAGAAGTAATGCTAATAATTTTGCTAAAAAAAAAACAAGTGACTGAATAAGATTTTAACAATAAAAAAAAAAAATCTACAAAATTAGGTTTAACAGCACTTTCAGTAAGCCTGGAAGCCATATGCTTAGATAATATATGCCAGAGAGTTTAGATCCTTTCATCTAGGTTTTACCTAATAATAAAAACCAGTATATTGTGGGTACCTCATGATATACTGAAGATATACACTGTTACAAAAAGTGATAAGAGGGAAGAAAAGAAAAGGAGAGGGGGGAACTAACGTTTGTCAAGCACATATTATTGCCAGGTGCTATACTACTAGATGCTTCATGGACATTATTTCATTTATTACTAACAACCCTATATGCTGAGTATTTTAATTTCCATTTTACATTTTAGGAAATTGAGACTCAAAGAACATTAAAGATGAACTTGCTTTGCCACAAAAGATGGACCTTGACAGAATGGGAGAAAAATATGGAACAGAACCTCAAATTCCTTAAAAAGAAAAAAAGAAAAGCAGATTTACTGGACCGGTTGAGACTAGAGGACTCCCCAACACTACTGCCCTGAGATACTCTTTAAACCTTGAACTGAAACTAGCCCGAGGTCATCTTTTAGCTAAATAACAGACTGGCTCACAAAATAAAGAATATCACCCATAAGTACTGTGCTCCTTTTAAAAATCATCTATATGAGACCAAATGGTCAACAATTACTTTAAAACATAGATGATAATGTAAGGAATCAGGGAAGCTAGATTAATGGAAATGGAACAACCAGAACAGAAATACTGAGAATATTCACAACTTGTGAAGAATGTAACCAATGTAACTGAATAATTTGTGTAAAATTCGTTGAATGGGTATCTAAACTGCTGCGTAAACCTTCACCAAAAACACAATAAAATATTAGTTAAAAAAAAATTAATAAACTTGCTTTGAAAATTTATGTCCACACAAAAACCTGCACAGGAATGTTTACAGTAACTTCATAATTGCCAAAACATGGAAGCAACCATGATGCCCTTCAACAGATGAATGTTTAAACAAAATGTGGTACATCTACACTATGAAGTTATTATTCAGCGACAAAAACAAATGAACTATCAAGTTTCAACAAGACATGGAGGAATCTTAACTGCATATTGCTAAGTGAAAGAAGTCAATCTGAAAAAGCTATACACTGTATGATGCCAACTATATTACATTCTGGAAAAGGCAAAACTATAAAGACAGTAAAAACATCAGTGGTTGCCAGGGGCTAGGAATGAGGAAGATGAACAGGTGAAACACAGGGCATTTTAGGGAAATACAATTATTCTGCGTGATACTTTAATAGTGGACATATAACATTACACATTTATCAAAACCCATAGAACTGTACAACACAAAGAGTAAACCCTGAAGTTTAGTTAATAATAATACATCGGTATCGATTCATCAATTGTAACAAACATACTACATTAATAAAATCAAAAACCCGTTGCTACTTTGAAGGACAGAGTAGCAGCGGTACAGGTCTGGGGACCATGCTTTCAGGGGACATCCAGGTCAGTTGGCATAACAAAGCTTATTAAGAAAATGTTCTGCATCCTACTTTCATGAGTGGCATCTGGGGTCTTAAAAGCTTGCCATCTAAGCATCAATTGGTCCCAACCACCTGGAGTAAAGGAGAATGAAGAACACCAAAGACACAAGGAAAGTATTAGCCCAAGAGATAGAAAG